AGGGGGGGCGCGGGTCTAAGAGAGGCTAATAAGCCTCTCTCGGTCAATTCGGGCGCGGGCTGTCCAAAAATTTTGGGCGCCCATGCCCAAAATTTTTTTCCCACCAATTGTTTTAGCGACAGACGTGTCCGTCGGTAAAAAACATTTTTGTGACGGAAAATCCATTGCTAAAAGCTTTTGTAACGATGGAATATGCCTTTGTCAATAATATTTTAGCGATGGAATATTTCGGTCGCTAAAACTAGAATTTCCATCGGTAAATATTTGTTTACCTACGAAAATATAGCGACAGAAATTTCCGTCGCTATATGTCCATAGCCAATACTCCATTTTTTAGTAGTGCATATATATCATTATAAATCATAATTGTTTGGATATTCTTTGTAAAGTTTTAATTTGACATTAATATCAGATTAGATTAGATAATACCCTATTCACCCCCTCTATAGTACTTTCAATTGGTATCAGAGCTCGGTGCTCTTTGATATGTGGCTTAATCGCCTAGAGTCAAAGATCATCGCTTTACATTATTGCTAATATAGTTTTGTGATTTTATCTTCCTTGCATTTATATCATGGATATGCACGGTACACCTAATTTAAGATATGCTATTATATTGCTCCAAAATTTAATAGTTTTCTTTATGCTCAATGGTGTGTTAGATTTAAACTATTTGTTAGATCAAAAAATATTGAATTGTAGGAAGTTATTGATTTTACCTATGTTGTGCCTACGTTGGAGAAATCCAATTGGAGCAATTATAATAAAAAGATGTTTACTATAAACAAGTTAGTGTTAGTATTTTTGCTAAATGCTTTTGACAGATGTATTTCTAACAAACTTTCTCATTTTGATTGTGCTTACACATTGTGAAAATTTATAAAAACACATTTAGGAAACTTGGAGGAGAACTGACATGGTTTGGCGGATTCTACTTCAAGTATTATTGGAGCTTCATCATGCACAAGACCACTAGGTGATAGCCCTAGTGAGGTATGCGAGTATGAATCCGATAGTGAATTATCTATTGATGAACTCGCTTGTGCTTATGAAAGATTAATGCATGCTTACAATAAATTGCAACATAATTTTAAAATTTTATAAAGCAAGCATGTAAATTTAAAATCTGATTATGATATGCTAGCATCCAAGTTTGACATCATTGTGAAAAAAAATATGACACTTAAAGAAAATAATGATAAATTATACTTAGAAAACGAAAATTTAATTTCTAAAATAGGTAGCTTATCTAATAATAAAAATGATGCCTTATTAGAAGTAGAAATAACTAAAAATTATTTTAATTATTTTAAAATTAATCATGTTTGTTCTACTTCTAATATCAATGTGATTGTGCCTAATGATGACTTGGATCATATGAAAAACCACATAACTTCTTTAGATTCAACCCTAAATAAATGCATTAATGACAATAAAAAAATTATGGACTTGTGCGCAAAGTCACGTAAAAATGCTTTCAAAACACCCACACACCATGCACATATGTATAACAAAATTTATAAATGCACTATTTGCGACAGTAAAGGCCATCTTGATAAAAAAAAGTTTATGATGCATAAAAACCCACTAATTCCAATATTATTGCTCATTGCACATCCCATCAAGTTTCATCATCATCACACACACACACATATATATGCACATAATGCTCATCATAATCATGTAAATATGTTTAAGTGTGATTTTTGGGGTAGAGTTGATCGTTTAGCTAAATTTTGTTTTGATTTGTAAAAAGTTTCTAAAAATATATCTCATGCATAATCACACGGTCAACAAAAATAAATGCATCCATTTCATTACACTTATTGTTATAGGATGAGTCACTTACATGATTATTGGTATGACCGGATCTGTGCACAAAATACGCCCAAATAGGGTCATAACCCAAGGACTTTGGATTTTATTGACAGGGGTCATGTCCCTAAACTCTTCGACACCAAGAGTGTTTGAGTGCCAAAATTGGTTTGATTTTCCAAAACAAATTTTTAGCATTTCTATTTTCTCTATTTTGGAAAACGTGTTTGCAAAAACTATTTTTAGAACATATTTGAAAAACTTATTTTTGGAAATGAATATTGATCAAATTTTACCCAAATGATTGTTTTTAATTACAAATATTGATCAAACATTATTCTTGGAAATATACTTTATTTTTCGTTATTTATGATGTTTATTGGTTTGACTTTGAGGACATTGATTGTGCGAATCCTTTGCACTAGTTGCAAGCATATAGTCAAATTCTAATGCATTTGCTAGTTTTAAAGATTTCAAACTATTTAACATGCATGTTAAGAAATGCATTTCTAAATGGCTTTATAAATGCAAAGATTTATGCTTGAGCAAACCCCTCGGGTTTTTATTGATTCTTTCTTTCAAATCATGTTTACCGAGTGCAAAAAAGCTTCATATGGGTTAAAACAAGCTCCAAGAGCATGGCATGCTCACCTTTCTTGTTTTTGTATTAAAAATTGTACAATTTGATTCGAGTTTGTTTTATCCTAAGCATATTTCTTGATCTTTGTGTTTGAAACATATAAATATTTGACATTATTTTTGCTTGATCACTTAGTTACATTCTACAAAAATAATATTTTATGGATCAAGTATGTTTTGATGTTATTATGCTTTTAAAATTCTTAATAAATCATGATTTATGTTCGCATGTTTATGAATTTTTGGACTTTCATTTGATTTTTTTATTTTCATAGTTTTCATGATTTGTTATCATTTGAAAATATCATTTCATGATATATATATATATAGAGAGATTAATGGGTATCTTTGTCATAGGAGGGAATTTCCTCCTTGACGCCTCTAAAATTACATGATTGAGCGACAATATGGATGATCCGCTTCATTGAACTTGATCTACATATTCTAAAACACCAACACACCAAGTTTGAGGTGAACCTGTCGTCGTTTGACCCTTCATCCACTCGTATCAATTTTAACGGTTTTGAATGAATAGAACTTTTCACATGGCTCCATGGAGGGTCAAACGACGACGGATTCACCCCAAACTTGGTGTGTTGGGGTTTTAGAATATGTAGATCAAGTTTAATGGAGCGGATCATCCACAATGTCGCTCAATCATGTGATTTTAGAGGCGTCATAGGAGGAAATCCCCTCCTATGACAAGGATACCCATTAATCTCTCTCTCTCTCTCTCTCTCTCTATATATATATATATATATATATATATATGTTAATGTTATATTTTAATTAAGAGTGGT